GCTGCAACAAGATAGTGGGCCGAGTCGATATTAGGACCTCGGAGCGTACGCACGTTTAGAACACTGGAGACGTGTCTTTCGTCTATCACAAGAGGATCRATCTGGTTAGTTTTAACTTGATGTATTTTCTTGTGCTGGAATCTAGTACCACAGATAACCATATTTCGAGCCTCGGCGAAGTCGATCAGCCTCAACCCATTTTGGGATGTTTCGTCGTGGACGCTGAATTTACCGACAGTAGTGCCGAAGAGGCCTTCTTTGCCCACCCTGGTGTTAAAGTCGCCAGGCACGATTTGACTGCGTCTGCCTTTATTTATGTAAGGACATCAACCAGCTGGGCAGCGTCACCTTCCTAATTAAGATACCGGAATTCCAGGTGCGTACCCTCAACTCGAAGTCCGTAATTCGTTTGCCATGATCGTCATCAAAAGAGGGGACACTCATCCGGGTCCCAAACTCAGCGCACAACGCTATACAGGGGATGTTTCGCTTTCTCACTTTAGCTCGCCTCCAAACGGATGTTGTTATACAGGATACTTGGTCAAAGACCGGAAGTCGTGAGCTGCTTGAGTGTTCTGTAAAAGAATCGTTCTGACCGCTCCCAAGTTAATGGCGATCAGAGAATTTGCTAACAAAAGAAATCKCTGAGGATAACTAAATATTACACGTGATGTATCCACATTTGAATCTATTGGACTATAGTTTGTTCTTAGAGTTGGAGACCATGGCGTGTAGAAATGTATAGAGTCTCAAAAAAATCATTGGATCAAGCAAAATCGTTAATACCAATAGAAACTGTGCGCACTGCTATTTAACAATGACTGAAATATTTGAGCGCTGTTAGTCAATACCGCTACTAYTCAGGCCTTAGAGCAAAACATCACGCGTGTCAATCGCCAGTTACCAGTCGAAATGCATCGAAAATTGAACTCAAAAAATGGACCACCTGAGTCGGGCCGCGGCCAATATATGAAAGAGATAATCTTCAAAAATTAAATGCTAAAGACTGTTCTTTCGAATTATAATAATCGTTTCCTTTAATTTTGAAGTTCCTGTGTTGTTTTTTTTTTTTCTTTGAAAAGTAGAGAGCCTCGAAAAAGATCACCCTTTAGCTGATATTTCGACATCTAACCTTATTAATTTCATCTTTGTGGTTTCTGCTTTCACTTTCTCTTAAATTCCTTCAGTAACTGCTGCATTCCTTAACAACGTAGGTTTTCACTGCCAAACTGAAAACTTCAGTATGCATTGCAGCACCCAAACAAGCACACCCACACAAAGCACCACAAATTCACAGTTATTTGTTTATATGTATATGTATATGTATATGTGTGTATATTAATAGCGTTCCACACATTTTCGCCATTTCGCTATGTTTGTAACGGAAAGTTGAAAATTGTATGAGAAATAAACACAAATTCTCACGRAAACCAACCGACAAAGCAACGAACGTATGAAAAATAACAACAAAGTAACCGAAAACTATGTAGAGCACTAAGTAAATGGGGGAAAAACGAACTGAAAAAATGACAGTATGTTTTATGAGTTTTGGTGGCAGCTACTTACCTCTTTAATTAAACCCCAAGTTGGCTCATTGCCCGGATGCCGTATGGCCTGACGACTGACGCCGAAACTCATTAGTACCACAGCCAAGAGCACCACAAAATAAATCATGTTTTTAACCATTTTGCCCATCATAGTGACCAGCGGACCTGAAAGCAGAATGAAATGCGGGTAAAGTGGTGAAAGAATAATATTTTTTTATGATTTTCCGACGAAAATTTGCAAAATTAAAGTGAATGAAGTGTGAGAAGCACACAAAGTGCATGGTAGGGTAATACCTTAAGTGCTGGCATATGATTGAAGCCAAATTGCTCAATAAAGAAATGACGTAATGAGCTCACTTAAGCGTTTGTGCAATAGATATCTTAGAACTAAAATCTTTAATTTTTGGCATTTTTATTTAAAGCTTGTGATCTCTGAGAATCAGTAACTGTAGGTGAGCACTGACTGAAATAACAACCAGTCGCAAAATTACTACCCATGTTTTCTTTACGGCACATTTGCCATAGATTCGTGCATCACTCAAGTGCCACATTTTTTTTTTCAGGAAACATATGTACACGTACTTAGTCCTGCCATAAGTTCTGTTACAAGTTCAGGCCATATTCGATAGGCCATGTTCTCCAATTCTGARCACAAATTGTTGTCTAAAAGATTCAAATCTGGACTGCTAGACGCCCAACCATCTGCAGCTATGAAATCATGAATATTAGCTCTAAACCACCTTAGCGTGGTTTTTGCCTTGCCTGCTGGAGCTGAATCTAACTGGAAGACCCAATGCTCTGCATTGGAGAGAGTATTGTTTAACTACTTTATGACGCCTTCTAAAGCATCTTACTGGTACATTTCTATTCCAGTTTTAACCCCTTTATCATCTATGTGAAGGGGTGGAACGCTTTTATGGGAGATTTCTCACCAAACCATTACAGCGGCTGGAAACTGACCATGTTTTACTCTCAATACAACCAGTTTTTGCACCTTTGGAAGTTCTTGTCGCAGACTTAGTCGGTTTTCATATTAAAAACTACTTCAACAGTGAAAATTGTTTTGTCTACAAAGAACATACTTTCATTGTCTGTGGTTCACCGAAGAAGCCGCTTGCATCTGTTGTGCTACCAGCGCGTTGTCAGAAGATGATCGGTTGACTAAAAATCGTCTTTCCTGTTTACGGTACTCTTTTTGGAAAAAAATCAGCTTTACCCGAACGAATATTCACTCTAACGAACTCATAAGAGATGTCGAGCACTCTGGGCATCTCTCTAAAACTTGCCTAACGATTTTCAAGCATCATAGTTTTCACTTTTTAATTTTTTACTTCCATCAGATCTCACCGGATAGCACCTAGCTTTCACTTGTACTGAGGGTTTTAAATATGAAACTTTTTTCTGGGGCTTTAACGATCGTGACAGCGATATTCTATTTGTTTTCGAGATCGGTACACCAGTCTATATACATGATAATTTAAAATTTAGGTTTCAAATAATGATGGTGCTGACACTGAATAGAGGCAGTTGACTACAGATCACATTCTTAGAGAAAAATAAACCAGTATTTAGTCCACATGGTTTGCTCAGAGAAATTGCGATCAAATCCAAAAACAGACAGAGATTAATGATATGTCTAAAGATTTTATCTTATACCTTCTTCCAATATGCCATGTTTCGCAAAATATATGCATTAAATTTATCAACTTCGCGTTAATGCTAATTAGAATCCGAAGATACTCTTGCGAACATTTTCTAACCTARAAATTTGCATTTTGATTCTTAAATAGTGTCTGCGATGTCAATTACCCGAAATAAGTGTAATGCATAATTCATCATTCTTCATTAGCTAAAATATTCGACCTTAAAGAGCACTTTAAGAGCACTACAGAAAATAATGATGTTCATAAAAAATTCATGTAGTAGCAGAACCCTTTACGGCACTTCGCATAATCACGAAAATAATGAGGTCGAAACATAAAAAAGGCTAGCTCGCATTTATAATCGAGTTTCATAAGATTCAAGGGCTGAAATTTCAAAATGTGAAGGAAGAGCTTACGGCAGTAACTTGAATTTAATGATGCCATTATACCGTTATTCATTTCATTTGTAATTAAAACCACAGTGTTTGTAAATCAGCTCACTGTGCGCGAAATCAAACCGAAATCATATGGTATATCAAAATCGATTAAACTTTTGCTGATGGCGATTTAGGTACATAAGTTCGCACACATATTGTATGGATAAGCAAATAGTAGGTTGATCCCAACAATTTCGTTTTTTTTCGCGTTTTAAATTAATTCATGGTTAGCTTGGAACAATATGTTCATATCTTATGATTAGAAAAGGGTTGATTCAAGCTTTCTTTTCCATAATAGTTGTTGCCTTGGACAGTTATCTTCGCCAAATTTCGTTAATATATATGGTAAAATTAAAAAGTGTTCTATGCAAACACTTTTTTCTGATCGTTTAGTCTGTATGGCAGCTGGTAGTAGACGCCCAAAAGAGGCTGCTACCGACGAAAACATCAAAAAAGTTTATAATATAATTTGGAAGACCGTAAAGGGRAGTTGTTCGAGATAGCAGACACTCCAGAGATATCAACTGAATGTGTACATCAAATCATTATTGAATATTTGGAAATGAGAAAGCTCTGATCAAAGTGGGTGCCGGGGCTCTCTTTTGACCAAAAGCAAGGACGTGTTGATGTTTCGGAGCAGAGTTTATAGATATGTGACAACTGATGAAACATGGCTCCATTATTTCACTCCGAAATCCAATCGGCAGTCCAAGTGGACTGGTCGCGATGAACCCCCTCCAATGTGTGGAAAACGCCACAGTCGGCTAGCAAGGTTAAATCGTCTGTATTTTTGGATGCGAATTTAATAATTTTTTATGACTACCTTGAAAAAGGAAATCAGCAACGACTATCATAAAAATATTCGGTTATCATTGAGCGGTAGCGATTCCCACTCACAATGACACCGCCGGATCATAAACCGCACCAAAACGTAACTTTTTCGCGACACAATATTGACTCATTGAGAACGTATGTATGGCTGCCTGACCAATAACGCATATTTTGCTTTTTGACGAAGCCATTCAGTCATTAAGTGAGACTCATCGCAGAAGATGATTTTTCGATGAACATCCTGATTATTTTCAAGTTTTTGCTCAGCTCAATTCACGAACATACGATGATTCTGGTGAACAAACGGCTTCAATTYTTATGTCAATTTCATTTTGTAACGATGCAGACCAAGATCCTTGCGCGAAATTCGCCACATCAACGTTAGAGAGATGCCTAACGCTTGTGAACGACAGAACGAMATGTGATTTGGGTCTTCCTCAATTGATGCGTTAGCGGTAGCAATAYTCTCRACACTACGAAMACTTCTTTATCTCACTAGCCTGGTAAAATTTTATGCTAACACTGTGGATTCAAATTTTTTCACTAGACGCTCAATTGTTTATCTGACCAGACGATTATGACGTYCATAATCGGACACAACGCTTTTAAGGGGGTATTCTACTCTAAAATTTAAAAAAAAATTCCATTTTTTTTCATAAAATTAAAGTTTAGACCCTTAAGAACATATCCTCTAAAGGATTTTTAAAAATTAAAATTATTTGAAGAGCTRCAGTTACTTTAGTGACGCAGTATCCAGCCCGGTAGGTAGGTAGACTCACTTTTTTAAACGCGTTTTTCTCGAAACTAYTTTTTTCAACACGGTACCGGCATTATCTCAAGTTCTATACAACCGATTTACTTGAAATTTTGTGTGAACCTTCTTTATATAATCCTTTATCCTTTGTCTTTATATAATTCTTAATACTTTGTTTTTTTATATTTTAAAAAAATTCAGGAATTTCAAAAAAAAAAGCGTAAAAAATGATTTTTATTTTCAGGCAGTCGCCATTTACAAAAAAAAAAAAAATTTTGTTCCCTGAGGTAGGGACTACAACAGCATCCTTGCTGATTCAGAATTTCTTTTAATTTTATTTTATTTTTCAGACCATCAGAAGAGTCAGGATCAATGTCACCAGGATGCGCCATTTTTTTTACATCTGTCTCTATCACCCAACACAAATGAACTCTTTTGTGTAGCAGCGGAAGCTTTTACTAAGTCTCCTTGTGTACCTACTTTTATTCAACAAAACAAAAAAGTTAACTTAAAAAATTGTTTGTACAAAATTGCTCCACCCTAATAATCATTACAAATATACGCTGCCGTAGGTTAACACGTGCACTTACGTAAGCATTTGTACAAGAGTATGTGTGTGTTTTTCACCGATGAAATAAATATTTGCTCTCACTTACCCAAATACTTGTTGACACCCAAAATATTGAGTATTCGCAAATACCAATAAATACTATCCACACAGTAAATCACGCGGCCGATATCCATTGTGTTGGGTCGAAAGCGCAACGATAAACCGATCAGGAACAAGATAATAGCAGCTGCRTCACAGGGATTCCACATATTCCAGGCCCAGACCGCAAATTTATGGCTATTGTGGGCGTAAGAGAAAAAAAAAGAGAGAAGAGAGAAATTTTTGAAAACGCAGAAAGAACAGAAGGCTTAAAGCAAAAGGCGGCTAAATAAATTCAAGCGCGCTCCAACAAAACCAAAACCAAAAAAAGGTTATGCGGACTGCAAAAGTAATCTGAGAAGAATTTAATTCGGCGTGAAAAATTAAATTAACAGCAATTGTATGTGTGTGTGTGTTGATGGGAGAGTGTGTGTGATTGTGGTTTTGTATGGGAAGCGATAATGAAAGCGAGCGMAAATGGTCAAGCATAAAACGCAAAGAAGCACTTAGCAGTTATTTTTAAAGGCAAACCGCATGAGATTAAATTTATACTGTTAACACTTTGGCTTATGTGAGCATATGCTCGCACGACTGCTTAACTGTTAATAAAAACTTTAAAAAGAAATTTAAAATAAAAACTTTAGGAGACTTACGTTATGGCCACCGGCTCCGAAGAGATAATTTCTCGTATTTTCTCGAAACCCAAGGTGGCTATATATGCGATGGAGTAGACCTCCTGCCAGCGCGGCGTCGGGCCCATCTTCACCAGCACGGTGTAGGTGAACATGAATAGAAAAAACATATAGGCAATCTGTGGAGAGAAATAGTAAATAAATAAATACTCTGTGTGAGGTTAAAGTTGAGATAAGAGAGCGGAAATTAAAGGATTAGTTTCTAAGTGATACTTTAAAATATAAACCATCCAAAATCCCTTGGATCATATTGTACCTAAATGATCTAAAGAAAGCATATAAGTAAGTAACTTACAGTGAACTTCTTTGCGAATGAGTAAAGGATTGGGGAAAAGGTTGAACGGGGCATATTTTGTCAGGAACTCTTTATCAACTTCAGTTCAGACAAGCCAAGCCAYACAAGTAACAATATATTTTGGAAGTACAACCTCTTTCAGAAGAGTGACAATCTACTCTGAAAGTAGGGCGCTGATGCTAGACTTGAGCTCCTTAACCGTGAGTTTAAGGAAAGTTATGGAAAGCCTAACCTCGTTATCAATTATATGTATACAGTAAGTTCGGAGTAAGGCTAGTATGGTTGCAAAACAACAGCAGAAACGCATGTAAAGATAAAGCTGAGAAGCTGGCAAAGAAAGGACGAAATTCTCCTCGTCTATTCTACTACTGAATAGTTAAGCCTTCCGGTAGCTTCTCTAACAAAGGGCTACCATCGATTCATGCACTGTCTCAAAATCCGTTTGCAGGAAATCGATCTCAAACAATCTAGTGAGATGTTCTGAAATTCTATGAGCCACAGACTTTAGGCAATGCCTAGAAATCGTGCACAGTAATTTTATTTGAAGTTAGGTTAAACTGGCTGGCTGAAGGATGAAGTTACAGTTTAATGCGAGATGAAGTTTTTGCCTTTTAAGCTACAAATCTCCTGATATCTAGGGCAAGTTCCAGCGGGAAAGACGATGATGTGGCATGTATTGTTTTGACCTATGACTAGGCAAATAAGTGTTGCAGTATTTTCGAGACTACTCACACGATCTGACGTTGAGCAATACCAAAAGCTCCGTCAGGATCGGGAAGGCCCTGTCCGAGCCGTTCGATACCAAACAAGGTTTCCGACAAGGCGACTCCTTATCGTGCGACTTCTTCAACCTACTGCTGCAGAAAATAATTATTGCTGCAGAACTTAATCGAGCAGATACAATATTCTACAGGAGTGTACAACTGCTGGCGTACGGCGATGATATTGATACCATTGTCACCAACAACCTTAGATCTGCTTTCTCCAGACGGGATGAGGAAGCGAAGCAAACGGGTCTGGTTGTGAACAAAGACAAGACGAAATATCYCTGTAATCAAACAAACAGTCGTCGCACTCGCGACTTGACTTCTAAGTCACTGTTGACAGTAATATCTTCGAAGTGGTAGATAATTTCGTCTATCTTGGAACCAATTGCTATATGAACAACAATGTTAGCCTCGAAATCCAACACATAATAACTCTTGTCGAAACATGTTATATCAAACTGAGTAGGCATTGAGAGTTCAAGTCATCTCTCGACGAACAAAGACCAAACTCTATAGTAAGTCACTCATTATTCTCGTCCTGCTATATGGTGCAGAGGCATGGCCGATGACGACATCTGATGAGTGACGCTACGAGTTTTCGAAAGAAAGGTTCTGCGAAAGATTTATGGTCCTTTGCGCATATGGCGACATTGATATAGTACAGCGAATTAAGAGACAGYGGATGYGCTGGCTAAGTCATGTCCTCCGTATGCTTGAAAACAGGGAAGCAGAGGAAGAAGAAAACCYCCATCYCGTTGGAGAGATTAGGTGAAAGASSACCTGAGGATCGAATTGGCGCCAAACAGCGAARAGGAAGAACGACTGGCKTTGGCTCGGCTATAACCGTGTWAGCGGTGTCTACGCCAATAAAGTAGARAATGAAAACACTCAAACACTTTTTTCGTCAAAAATTCAATACAATTGAAGTCATCAGATATTCAAAGCATAAATTTAGGAGCTTATGATATATCAAGAGTTCAACATGAAAAYTTAGATACATAAATGTATATATGTATGTATGTATCGCATACGACTTATTTGTAATACAAAATATGTATATTTTAAGCATATTGTTTCTACTTACCGAATCTGCCCAGAACTTCGTAATTGGTGCGGTGTAAAATTCATAGAATTTCTTCTTCAAACGCAGCGGCTGATGCTGCTTCAACTCGTATTCGCCCAAATTAAAAATATCACGGAACTGTGATGGATCGGAATCGGTGAGTGAAACCTTAGCGGCGGCGGCGAAGCAACAAACCAAGACGACAAGAAAACAAACGATTAGTTCAAACACAAATACATGCATGAATATTTATGTAAATTTGTATGTGTGGCATACATAGGCAATGCAAGAACTAAACTAGATTAATTACAAAGTGACAATTTGTCGAGGTGAACGTGATTTATTTACATAAAAAATGCGATTTAATGTCTGATTTGTGCAAAAACATTCCATTTGGCATTAATGCCGGGTATCATTATTTATTTATATTATTTATTTATAATTTCCGTTTTATGTAAATAGCAAATAAAATAGAAATAGAGAGAGCAACAACAATTTATTGAACGCAGAACGGTGATTGAGGTGACTTTGACAAGCGAAATGCATAATTGAAAGTTGTTGGTGCAGAGCTTTTGTAGCGAGTGTGCTGGCATACAAACAAACACTACACAGTATTAGGTAATATATAAGAGTATACAGCTACATATATGGATATAATTACAATATATATATATGTATATGTSTGTGTGGCAAGGAGAAAGCGTGATTTTGCAAGCGTTATTATGTGCTTATAACGGTACAGGTGAAGCAGCAGCTAGCATGCTAACGCACACACACGCGCTTGTACGTATAAATGTATGTGTATGTGTGAATCATATAATTAATAGCAGAGCATAAGCATTAGCCGAGGTTATTAGTGGTATTAGTGGCATAAGTGGGTGGAGAGGAATTTCAAGGATTAAAGGAATTAACAGAAATACGCACACGCAAGCAAAATAAATGCATATGAAAGCGTAGTGATGAGATTTTTATTTAATTTTTTTCAATTTCTAAATGCAAATGCATTCAACAAAATGGGATTTTGCTCAGCTGCAAAATCATCGATTTTTAGAAGCGACAAACGTGACTTGCATACAATTCATTTAGCAAATCCAGTAAATTATATGTTATTAAAAAATCACTTAAGTACATAGCATACAAAGTGAGCATGATTTTTACATATTTTCTTGTTTTATGGTTCTACTTATAGGAAAGTAGTAATATTCACTTGCGAGTTAGAATGAAATGTCGTTTTTATTTTTTTTATTTTTTTGTTTTTTTGTTTTTTGTTTTTTTTTTTGGAAAAGTTTTCCATACAAGGACGTGATTTTGATAGCTCAGTTTGTATGACAGCTATATGCTATCGTGTTCCGATCCGAGCAATTTATTCAGAGATTGTAGCGTTTCGTTGAAAAATAATTTACGCCAAATTACGTGAAGATATCTTGTCAAATAAAATAGTTTTCCAGAATTTGATACCGATCGATCAGCTCTGATGGCAGCTATATGCTATAGTGATTCAATATCGGCGGTTCCGACAAATTGGCAACGTTTTGTGGCGAAACAAATGTGTGCAAAATTTCAGAGTGATTTCTCAAAAAATGAAGCCAGAGAAATGTTTCTCACTGACACCGAAAATACGTTTCAAGATTTAGCATCCAAAATATGCTCGAATATATAATATTCAAAATTGATATATTGTATGTGCCAAAAAAAATTTATTTTAGAAATTCGCAAGTGGATATAACAACTTCAACGAGTTTAGAATGTAAAATAGAGATTAATAGCATTAACATTAAACTAAAACAGCATAAGTCGACTTAAAATATGCTACGTATTTTTATTTATAGAAAAGAACTGTGTCTATACTTCAGCTTTGTTTTAACGCAATGTGAGATTGTAGATCTAAAATATTTGTTTTTTGGTTTTTTTTAATTTTATTTTTATTTTTTTATTCTAAATAAAGCCCAAATTTAGCGCTCGAGTTTGTTTTCAGCTAAGTCGACTTAAGCTACTTTAGCTTTATTGCCACAACTGTGTAAAGAGCATCAATTTTATAWATTTGAAGAGAAAATGTTCGGGTAGAAAACTGTAGAAGTAAATTTTGTATAGTGAACAAAAAATGTAAAATAGTTTGAAATGAAAATTTTAAATTGTTTAAAAATTTGCGAATTCCGAAGAAATGTAAATAAGTAAAAAATTGCG